CGGGGCTGGGGCTGTGAGAGCAACAGCTGGGGGAAGGAAGGCATACCTTTGCACGAATTTCATGCATTGGGCCTACAGTAAATATATAAATTTACATATATAAAAGTATGTGTGTATATATGTCTATAAACATTTAAAGTAATATTTGGCCTCCTGAGATATGTTATTTTATTCAAAATACATCAATTTTAGAAAACAGTAAATCAGTTTTCTAGATTCATACTTAAACATCACTTTCAGAGTAAGCTCCAGGATGCTTGGCAGTATAGGACAAAACAGAGAAGCACTGGCCGGGTGGGTCAGTTGGTTGGAGAGTCATCCCATATACCAGAAGATTGCAGGCTTGATCAGTCAGGTGCATACTGGAGGCAACTGATCGCTGTTTCTCTCTTTCTCTTCCTCTCTCTCTCTAAAAATCAACAAAAGCAAAATGCAGTCAGCTGGGAGGTGGAAGTTGGCATAGAGGTCATGGGAAGGGCAGGAGTGATAACAACCTCATTTTTTCAAAGTGTTCGTGGTTGATTGAGAGAGTGAGAGAGCACTATTTTAAAACATTTCAGTACTTTCTCAATAGTTTCAGCAGGTATCTATGTTTTCCTTATTTCTTTCTAATCTCCTTATCTCCTTTATTTTCTGTCCTTAGATTTCTTACTCTGAGCCTCTATGCTAATTCCCTCTGAAGTCTTAGAACCACTCACTTATCAGTGATATACATACATTTTATCTGTTGTCAATAATAGAATTTCCCCCACATAAATTCTCAAAGAAAAAGTGAGTTACAGGTGCCTGCTATGTGTCCACTTTCTCAGTTTGGCCCTGGGAATAGACAGGTTAAGGACCTCATTATCCAGTGGGCCTCCTGGTTAATGCTAATTAAGAAGTCTAAATCTTAATTAATAGCTATTTACAGGGGGATCCAGAGCACCATGATGTTTTTCTGTTGTTTAGGTAACTTGAAAGAAAAATGGGTGCTCTTAGTTTCCCATTAAGGAAAAGCAGTCTAGGGAGAGTAGGAGGTTTGCTTAAAGTCATCAACTTGGGGATGGTAAAGACAGAATTAAAATACTGTTGCCCTGACCCCTGGTCCATTGGCCCTCCTAACTCTTATGCTATTGCATATTCTAGGAGAATAATTTGAGCCCCATTCCTTTCTTCAACTCCTCTAAATTTAACTTTGCATTCTACATTTTATTAGGGAAGATTTCATATTGCCCAGCTTAACATTTCATATTAATTTGTTCCTTTCTGAATTTTAACTACAATTGTAGTAAATGAAAGCTGCATATGTGCACATGCTCGTGTGTATGTGTGTGTGTGTGTTTGTGTGTGATTAAGCTGGATTCTATAAATTAATTGAATGAGTGCTTTATCATCCAGGCTCTATCACTCAAA